TTATCAGTGTCTTGATAAAGTTTATCTTATCAAACTTTTTTATTTTCTAGTTGTTTCTGTCTTGTACAATGTGCTTATATCACTAGACTGTGGGCTCCTATAGTGAATGAGTGTGAATTTTTTTTTCTTGTGCCCTTAGCTCCCAGCATAGAGCCTAACTTATAGATGGCCCATAAGTGTAGTACTAAGTTTTTTGGGAGAAGGAGAGGAAAAAATGTGTTTTCTTTTTTGCCTAGTATCTTTTTAGGGAATTATCTCCCCTCACCATTTAGTCCTTCTGGTTAAGGCTTATTTCTTTCCAACCCAACCCTAGGGGTGGGCAATTGATCCAAACTAGACCAATTGAAGCCTTGCTCTGTACTCTTGCAAGAAATATGAGTGTATAGGCATATCACTCTTCTCCTACCAAGATTGAGGACATTGTGATAGTAAAGCAATTGCTTGCCATCTTTGCTATCACCCAAATAACCTACTTGAGTATGAAGTCAACACAGAAATTAAGAGATGGAAAATGGAGAATAAATAATCCTAGAAGACATAATTGGAATCTTTGGATTCAGCCTTTCCTGAATTTCACTTCCCTTTGAAATGCCCAATTATAAAAATCAAAGCCTTTTGGTTTATGTATTTGTTTAAGCAAATTTGAATTATACTTTTATTTCTTGCAACTCAAAAAGTCCTGTACTTCTTAATAATGTACCGTTTCTTAAGTTAACACATCATTCTCCAAATCTTCAGAGATGCTTTGGAGGTGAAGGAGATGGGGTGGAAAGCAATAAGTGTAATTACCTGAGAGTGTGTGACCAATAAAACAGGAGTCCTGGCTTCATACATTATGTAGCATTGTTAAAAATAATAAATTTTTAAATCATGATATAAATAAAAAATAAAACTATTATAATGTTCAGATCAAGAAGAGACCTGCAACTACTATGTCTGAGGATACTCTTGTTATTTTATTTCTATATATTGCCATCAAGTATTGGATTAATGAAAAAAACATGAATCCTTGAAATAAGAAATTCATTCTTTCTCTTTTAATAGAACACAAGCCAGACAAAATCCTTTTTTAAAGAATCTGTCATGTAAAATTGACAAAAATAGTTAAAAATGTATGTGTGTACATATATCTATGTATGTGTGTATGTTTGTGTGTACATATGTATCTATGTGGTCTGTGTGCCTATGTGTATGTGTGTCTATGTATGATTGTGTATGTTTATACACATATGGTACAGAAGTTGTATATAAGTGAATGGGACTGTGTGTATATTTTCATATATGTGTGTATGAGTGTGTTTGTGTGGCTCTATCTCTATGTGACTGTATTTGTGTCTGTGTCTGTATCTCCATGTGCTATACTGTAGCTTAATTTGCATGTGTCTGTGTGTGTTTATGTGTGTGTGTAGTATAAGTATGGGTTCGTGCCTGTGTCTGTGTCTACATGTGTGTTTGTGCAAACATATATGTGCCTGTGTTGTATGTGTGTGTGCCTGTACGTATATTCGTGTGGCTGTTTGTGTGCATGTGTCGATGTGTCTGTGGCTGTCGGCAGGAAGAAGGATAAAGCTACACTATCCTATTCTGTATTTGGTGCAAATTAGGAAAAGCTGCCCTCTCTGGTGGGACAGCGCAGCCTCACAGGTACAGGGATTGGCCAGCAGAGTGGGGAATGGATTTCGGTCTCCACTGACCCCCTCATCTGATGTCTTACAGCAGAGAGCAACTTGGTGAGTGTGAGGGGTATTTTGGAACACCCAAAGTCCATTCGGCCTCTCCTTTGTTGTGTTGTGCAGACAGTTCTTTCCCATAGAACTCAGTCTGAAAACTGATGTCCTATAAATGTTCCAAAATGACATGATTCCAGAGGCGTTCATGGCAGATTCCTCTAACTGAAGTCCAAGCACTGCAGAGCCTCCAGTGGGCTCCTTCTTCGATTCTGCTTGAGGCCTTGAGCATGCCTTCCCTCAGGCAGACCTTCTCTCACCTCTCTTTTTGGAAAGCTCAAGCCAGAGAGTCCTGCCTTAGCATCCTACAGCCTCAGACTAGCTTCTGCCACCTGTTGCCTTGTTGTGGAAAACACACATTGAGGTTTAGGGTTGCATATTGCCATGGCTCATTACATAGCTTGCAGTTTTAAAAAAATGACTCATTACTAAGAGGCTGTGAGGTTGTGATCGAGTGGTGTTAGTGGAGAAACATATGGATGGTGTGGGACTAGTTTAGATGGAAAGTGAGATCTTGGAACCAGGAGTGGATGAGTGGTTCAAATGTGAAGGGAAAACTGGTGCTGCAGGTTGGATCTAGAGGGACCGTTAGCACTTAATATTCCTTGGCAAGCTTCATAGCCAATATGTGCTGCCTACCTCAACTTCTCAGCAGAAACTCCCTCTTCACAGTCTGACTTGTAGTGTCTTGTGATAGATGACCTCGGGCAAGTTGCTCAACCTTTATGAGCCTCTGTTTCTTCAGCAATAGCCCCTATTCACTCATAGGTGTGGTTGGAAAGAATAATGACATAGTCTATGTGAAGACCTGGGCACGCAGTGTTCAATGAATGTTGTTGCAGCCTTTTCTCCCCTTTTGTTCACCCTCTTCTTCCTCCTCTGGGTGCCCCTAGCACTTCATCTGTCCGTAGTACAGCATCTAGCTCTGGCCTAGCACTTGGCAAGTGGTCAGTAGTCGGTAGATATTTGTTGAGTGAAGAGTTAAAAGAAGTCAGGAAGGAAAATGGAGGGAAAATAGTAAGTATCAGGAACATAATGAAGTAAGTTGAAACATTTTCCCATCTTTGGACATGATCTAATAGTATCCTTTGACAGAAAAGTTGAACAAGGATTTTGTATATGTAAAATGTAGCTCTAGGTGACAGTCGGGGTAGGGAGCTCAGTAGGCCCTTCTGATCACCGATTTCATGTTTGTGATCATCAGTCAGGTCTTATAGTAGACCATTTCAGTTTTCCCTTTGATATGACAGGGTGAATTTGGAAGACAGAGAGAGTGTATATGCAACAGCCCGTTTCTGACCAGAGAGGCTTAAAGGAATCTAAATTGTGAAAGAAAGAAAGGAAGAAATAGAGAAGAAAACAAACCTTATTAGTAATGAGAGATCCAGTAGGCAGGTGGGGCTGTCATCACTATAATTATATACCAGATATTAATCACCTGCTATTTACAGAGCACTGTACTGCTGAGATTGTGAAGTAGAATTCCAGGTTGTTGCCCTCCAGAGGCTTCCAATCTAGGACATGGAATTGGTTAGAAGATGAAGTATCAAACACTATCTATCTGTTCAGTACTGTGACAAATACTTAAAGGTATTTTGCCAGATATTATCATTCTCCAAGAAGAATCTAAGGTTCAGAGAGATTAAGAAACTTTCTCCAGCTCATCCATCAAACAAGCAGCAGAACTGGGAGAAGGCCCAAATCTATCTGGCTCTAATGGCACTGTACTACCTGCAGGCCTCTGAGTAAGAGCATCAGGGCAAGCATGTGAAAAAGACAATTAACTTGACAAGCTATCCTAGGTTTAATGCCATGTGGGTAATATTTGGTTATTGTTGCAGGAATCCAACAAGAAAACAGATTTATTAAGTTTGAAAGGGAAACTTTACAGAGGAAGCAGATCCTCAACTAGATACTGAGGGCAGAATATGAATCCAGTAAGAATGATGGCAGAGGTGTTTTAGGTGGAAGTAGACATGGGATGTGCAAAGCTTGGAAGTGGGAAAATTCTCACCTTCTGGGTTTGTGTTACGCAGCATGGAATATCAGAGAGAGCAAAGCCTACTCCAAACTCACTAGCAGTGCTTCCCTAGTCCAGTCACCCAATTTCCATAAGCCCTAGTGTCCCTATTTGTACAATGGTTGTGGTAATAGACACTTCAAAGAGTTGTTGAGACCAGAGACAATGTGTTTAATGCTATCTGCCTCCTCAAAATCACCACTCTAAATTAAAACTCAATCAAAGCCAGGTTTCCTCTCTTACAGTTTTCTATTTTCCTTTCTACTTGTACTTGAATCAACTATATATTTGTATGCTTATTTCTTTAATGTCTTTTCTTGACTGTAAGTTCCATGAGGACAAGAAAAATATCTGTTCATCTCAACACTATCTCTTTAATGCCTAGAACAGTACTCCATAAATCTTTGTTAGATGAATACATAGATATAGGAATAAATTAATGAATAACAAGATCTATTTCTGTGCTAGGATTCTAAGAATCTCAGTGAAAATATCTCTTCTCTCTGGCAATGGGCAGGTTGCAAATACAGGAAAAGTTTTCATAGAATGCAGTTAGAGCATTACCGGGCCTCAACAGGTTACTAGAGAAGCACCAGGTCTCCTCTCCATCTACTACATGGAACAATGTCTGAGCAGGAAGGAAATTACACAAACTTTCAGTTCAGCTGGTTCCAGAGTTTCACAACCCAGCTCTGTCTTGCTTACATCTGACATGCTACTTCATTGGTGTGACCTCCAGTGTGCTTAGTGGATAATGACACTGCATAATCACTGTGCTGCCCCACAATGACCCTGAGTGGATGTCTAGACTTTCCAGTAATCAAGTCTTATAATTCAATGCAATGCAATAACCTTTTATGTATTGTTGGGGAGAAGAATAGGGGATACACAGATGCACTAATAATTACCAGGCATTTGATATATGGTCTGTGATTGAGATAAGACTGGAAACCAAAGGGTACAGAGGAAGCTACATGGCCCAGCCTGATGTGAAACAATGGTTGGATAACATTTATATCTTTTCAAAGTGTGATTATATATATCTTCTTTTCTTAGTCTCCCTGTTGTCATGGAGAAGTATAGATAACATTCAGAGTATTTGCTCCTATTATAGAGAGAAACTGAGGCAAATGGGGGTGGTTCCGGACATAGAACTGGTTTCAGTGGCTGCCTTAGTCTGTTTTGTGCTTCTATAACAGAATGCCATAGGCTGGGTAACTTATAAAGAAAATAAATAAATTTATTTCTCACAGTTCTGAAGGCTGGGAAGTCCAATATCAAGTTGCTGGCATCTGGAGAGTGTCTTCCCGTGGCAGAAGATGAGAGGGTGAGAAAGAGGGTTTGGGATATCAAACTTGCCCTTTAATTATGAACTCATTCTTGAGACAACACCATTAATCTATTCATGAGGGTGAAGCCCACAAGGCCTAATCACCTCTCATTAGGCCTCACCTCCCAACACTGTTGCATTAGGGATTAAGTTTCCAACACATGCTATTTGGGGGACACACTCAAATCGTAGCAATGGCACATATGAACTAATGGCTCAGAGCTCATGACCATCAGTTTAGGGATCTTCTGAACCACACTGTCATTTGCTCTTATGTTGGACAGCAGTATGAGCATGCTTGCAATTTCACAATGTCACAGAAGATGGGGGACCTTCCATAATATGTCCCCTATGCACTTTTGTGATAGAACATCAGAATAGAATAAATTACTGATATGGAAGTACTGAGAAAGGGAGGGCATTGTCCCTCTAAATAATACAGAAGGCAGCAGGACATGCTGAGTAGAGGAGGGTGTGGCCCCCTGCTAGGGCTTCACTCCCAGGCCTGTGTCAGGGACCTAGGTGAGGACAGGCATTTTTGTTTTCCTGTGCAAATGTTGCATTTTCCAAGACCACCCTGGCCTGCCATGCCCCTATCCAGGCCACCAACTGGCAGTATGACATGGAGCTTGGCTGTGGCAGTGAGAGGAGAGCTGGGGCTGCTGAGTCCCTGATTCCAGGGGGAACACCATCTCCCTTTTGGCTCCTCCATCTGCTGAAAGCTACTTCCACTCAATAAAACCTTACAATCATTTCCAAGTCCATGTGTGATTGGATTCTTCTGGTACACCAAGGCAAGAACCCTGGGACACAGAAAATCCTCTGTCCTTGTGATAAGGCAGGGGTTTGAGGTGACTAACACAAGCCACCTACAGACAGCTAAACTAAAAGAGCACCCTATAACACATGCCCACAGGGGCTTCAGCTGTAAACATTCACCCCTAGACGGAGTGAATGTGGGGTTGGAGCTCCACAGCCTATCCGGCTGTATGCTTTCCTAGAGGTTTGTGCAGCCAGTGGGGCACTGAATAAGTGAGTCACACCCCCATCGCACGCCCAGTAAGGGAGACAAGGGAACTCTTCCAGTTTCATTAGGAGTTGACAGACTAAGGTTCACGGGCTACATTATTCATTGCTTGCTTTTGTAAGTAAAGTTTTATTGAAACATAGTCATACCTACTCATTTACTATTGTCTGTGGCTGCTCTTAAATTATAAAGTTGAGTAGTTGCAACAGAGACTATCGCTTACAATTCTAAAATATTTACTATTGGTCCTTTACAGAAAAATTGTGTCACTCCCTGGAATGAATCAAATGGAAGTAAACGGAAAAAAAAAAAAAAGAATTCAATCATTCATAACAGGCAGTGTATCAGTGAAGAAGATAATGAAAATTAGTTTCAGATAAACTCAGGTCAGAATCTCACTCTGGCCACTTGGCTAGACAACTTTGAACAAATTATTTTTACTCTTTGGGCCTGTTTTTGCATCACTGTAGAAGGTTGCTGTTTAAGAATTCTATAAGGTAAAGTGTAATATATCTGTTATGATTAGCTTTGACCCCATACAATAGAAAACACAAAATAAAAGTGTCTTACACAGGACAGCAGTTTTTTTTCTTTCATGTAGAGGTCTGGAGGGCAGTGGGTATTGATTGGTTCAGTGCCTCTTGCATTAGGAACCCATGCCTCTTTTATCTTGTTGCTTTGCTGTGTGTGGCTTTCATTCCTGAGGTCCTTTCATGGTTCAACATGGCTGCTGGAGCAAATAAACAATCAAATATACAAAAGCTTAGAGAAAGAGCCATCCATAGAGGCTAGGCAGCAAATCCATTTATTCAAGGCTAGCCAAGATGAGATCCCCTGGCCATAGTGCATGAAACCAGAATATTTCACTTATTCCATTCTTGGGATACATTGAAGCAGACCTGGAAGCAATGTCTTCTGTGTATTAAGCATCTAACTTTACAAAGCATTTTCATATGTCTTACCACATTTGTTTTCACAATGCTCTGAAAAGGTAAGATGACCTGATTTTAACATTATTATTCCTATTGAATATTTGATTCACACAGCTGCTAAGTAACATCTTAACAAGTCTACAGCTAGGTCTTCAGATATGTTGCTGGAAATGAAAGGTGAACAATCATGGTGCAGAAGAAAGAAAATAAGCCAAATCAGGACCCCTGGTAGAGAGGCAGTGCAAAGATTGGGGCTAATTTTGTGGTCTCAGCCTCACTGGGCTGTTCTTCTCACCTGTACGACTAAGATAAGAGCACTTACTTACTTTGGGGGTTATTGTGAAGATAGCAGACAATCTTAGTGCACCTGGCACTTAGGACCAGTTCAATGAAATCATGACCTTTCACAGGTGTGTCTGGAAAATCACGTCCCTTTCCTGGACCTCCGTTTCCTTTTCTAGGAAAACAAAATGTTTGGTCTCAGTGACTGCTAAACTATCCCAAATCTCGAGCTCCCTCAGTTTGGGATCCTGCCTTTTATGAAAATAGCTCAGACTGGAATTCTCCCTTTGGTTGCTTCCTAGCTGTGTCCCAGTAAAAGTTAAAAATTTTGGATTCCCTGCCCTCCGTAAAATAGGGATTCACAACATGCAGCTTATTAGAAAGGGAAGGCATGTGAGAATTAAATGAGGTCGATGTCCAGTACCCACTAGATTGTAACATTTCTCAAAGGCAAAGGAACCATCTGTATTGTAGATTTACAGAATGTCATACGTTGAAGTACCTAGGTTGGCCACTGGAATAGAAAATTTCTTTAAAGATTAAGGAACAAGATACAAGGTAAGCGTTCAAGAATTGTAACTACGCAATATTCTTATTTCTTAACACCCGTCTACAACAGTCCTGATGTTCAGTAAACGGTCTGACACACACACATCCGGGGCTGCGGAGAGTCCGCCTGGGTGAGCTCTGCCAGTCCTCAGAGCCGGGAACTTGCAGCCTGAGCAGACGTAGCAGATCCGGTCTCGGGTCCGCGCTCCTCCCGCCCAGCCCTGCCCAGCCCCGCCCGCGGGTGGCGAGGGCGAGCGAACGCTCCAGCAGCCGGCGGGCAGGCGCCGGCCAATCCCGGGCCCGATTCAAAGGGCCAATAAGGCCGAGCTTTACAGAGGACGCGGCGGGGCGGGGCTGCGCGCGAGGCGGGGCTGCAGCCGCTCCCGGGACCGCCCTGCCCAGGCGCCGCGGGGCTCGGCGCGGCTACGTGCAGAATCCCTCTAGCTAAAACGTAATGTCAGATTGGGCAAGTACTGTAAGTGACCCTCCTCTCAGTCCCACGTGGGCGCCGGGGGCTTTTGCTGGCGCGCAGGCTCTTCGCGCGCACGTCCGGGAAGAGGCTTCTCCAACCCGGGAGCGCACTGGCCTGGCCCTCTCCTCCCCTTTCCCACAGTCTTTGCCTCCTCCTCCCCTTCCTCCTCCTCCGGCCGCTGGGTCTCTCACCCGCTGGGCCGTTGCTCCCGAGACGTTGTTGAGTTCCCTGTGTCCTCTCCTGGGTGAGGCGTCCGGCCACTGAAGGGACGGGAAGGAAAGAAAAGGGTTGGCCTTTACTGCATCCCCAAGGCTGCCCGTTAGGTGTCTGGAACCCGTGCTGCTTCCTCTCCGATCAGTGTCCACTTAACTATATTCAGTTCTCTTTCTCTCCTCCCCTTACCGGTGTAAGACATTTCGCCGGCATCTGAGGAGCCTTTTGATTCACGTCTGGCTACCGAAGGCATTTCTAGGCTAATGTTGCTTGTACCTTTAAACGCTTCCAGCACTTAGGATAGTGTTTGCGGCACAGCTGAGTTTAGATCGGATAATGCTGTTTTGTTACCGTTATCCGCAGTAGGAAAGGCCCAGGGGTATCTTTCCATTTTTTATTTAAAGATTGAAAAAGTGGAAAATGGTGAATTTCCCTCATCATGGGCTGTTTTCTACTAAAGCACTTCTGTGTCTTAACACAAATTTCTTTTCTGAAGGGTCAGGCATGACATGATCAAAGTCTGAAAAGCAGTTATCCTTAGGTTACATTTAAAAGTATGAGACCAGGAGGAGTGAAGTTCTTATGCTTTTGAAATGTAAATCAGAATGAAAGAAGGGAAGGTCTCTTATTTTGTGGCTGTTATTTAAATAGTAGAGTTTTGCTTTGTATAGTTTTTGCTTGCTTTTCTTCTTTTTTTCCATGATCCACCAAGTGTATATCCTGAGTTTTTTCCTTTTTAACTTGCTTGCTGGGTTTTCCAGCCAGATGACTGCCGCTTGGTCTTCTGGGAGTCTCCTGTTAATGGGGCCCTCATGCTTGGCTCTTGACCTGATGGCCACTGGCCTGGCTCTTGGAGGACCTCCTAGTGGGAGGCCCAGAGCACTGTTATTAAGGATGATTGGGGGAACAGATCAGAGGGGTGAGCTAGGCCTGGAGATCAATTTTGAGGGGGAGGGAGGTTGGGAGCCTGCCTGGCTGGATTTGGAAGTCAAAACATGTGTGCTGGAAGAAGGGCATAACCCCAGAGGGTGGAGAGCTTGTCTTTCTGGATGAAATTAAGAAATTTACTGGGAGGAGACTGTGCCTTCCAGGCTGTGTTAGTTTTTGCTGTGGGCTCTGTCTTTTCCTGGAATTTGGTTCCCTTTCCCCTAACCTTTCACTTTTTAACTAGTTCCCTTTATCTAACCTTTCACTTATTAATTTAAATAGTTTAAATCACAGTCAATTACCAGCTGGTTTTTTAAAACAATTTGAGGTAGTGAATCTTGCCCTTAATCTCCCAGCCAGAGTGGAACCCTCTACCCCCACCCCCAAGGGGATTTGAAATGAATATTTTACCAGAATGTGCTACAGAGATCACTTACCCTCTCACCTGCCCACATTTTTATAATGGAGGGACATGGAGTCAACCCAGGTGGTGTAAGAGATCCAAATCAGTTCATTTGTTCACTCATCTTGTCCACATACTTTGGGCCTTGAACTATGGTAGTCTCTGGGAAAGTGCAGATGAATAAGACTTGGTCTCTGCTTTTAAGCCTTCATCTAGTTTGCTTCAGTCCACTTTGATGAGGGAGATTACATGATAGTGAGATGAGTACAGTGAAAAGGTACGCAGAAGACTCCCAGGAGTTGAGAGAAGGGCAAAAGGCTCCGTATGGGGTTTGTGGAAGACTTCCCAGAAGAGAATACTGGAACTGAGTTCCAAAGCCTGAGTGGGCTGGAGAAAGGGGAGGAATTATATGAATTGGGAACAGCATGTGCAGAACTACAGAAGCATGGCACATGGTTGATTAGTATGGCTGTGCAAGAAAGGCTGAAGTGGAAAATCACCTGACAGGAGGCTGGGGAGGGTGAAGGCCAGATCAGGAGGGGTCTGGTGAATCATCTCAGGGAAGTTTGAAATATATCTCCAGGGCAAAATGTTATATCATTTTGCAGAAATCTTATGTCATTTTCTTTATACGTTATGGAAAATTCTGGCTGCAATTTGGAGAATGGATTGGATTGGTAGAGCCTAGAGAGAGATAATTGTAGTAATACAGGTTAGAGACGTATTAGGGTAATAGTTATGGCAATGGAGAGAGATTAGGAAAATAGAATGGTTAGGAATTAATTACTGATTGAATGTAGGGGTAAGAAGAAATGTAGTCAATAGTAGGCATTCTTGAGTGGGCTATTTTGTAGCAGATTTATTGAGGAATAATTGGCATCCAGTAACTGTTCATATTGAGAGTGTCCAGTTGGAGAAGTTTTGTTAATATGCATATATCTGAAAACCATCATCAAGATAAAGAACATAGCTAGCTAATACCCCAAAGATTGCTTTTGCCCTCTTTAATTCCTCTTTGTATACCCCCTAGGGTAAAGTATATATTAAATCTTTTGTCCACTTTAAAAAAATGATCCATGTATTTTCATTTTATTTAGCTTTGAGAATTCTTTATTCTTAAAAGTTCTTTATCACATGTAATTTGCAAATATTTCTTTCATTTTGAGGCTTGTCTTTTAACAGTGCCTTTTGAAAGCAGTTCTTAATTTTGATGAAGTCTAATTTATAATTTTGGTTAAATAAATGTTACCAATCTCATTTTTTATGGATCATGCTTTTTGTGTTTTATATAAGATATCTTTGCTTAACCTAAGGTCTCAAATATTCCTCCTATTTTTAAAAAGAAGTTTTGTCATTTTTTGTTTTATATTAAACCTGTGATCATTATAAGGTAATTTTTGTATAGGACGTGAAATATGGAATGAAGTTAATTTTTTTGCATATGGCTATCCAGTTGTTCCAGCACCATTTGCTGAAAAGCCTATCTTCTTTGAATTGCCTTTCACCTTTGTTCCAAAATCAATTTACCAAGTATACATTGGCCCAGTTTTGTGTTTTATTTTGTTCATTTGATCTCTTGTCTATTTTAATGGCAATACCACATAGTCTTGATAATTATAGCTTTGTAGTAAGTACTGAAATCAGCTAGTGTAAGTCCTTTAATTTTGTTCTTTTTAAAATTTGTTTTGATTATTCTAGGTTCTATTTCCATATGAATTTTATAATCACTTTGTCAATTTCAAAACAAAGTCCTATTTAGATTTTAGTTGGAATTGTATTGAATGCATACATTAATTTGGGGGAGAATTGACATTTGAAATACCAAGTCTTCTGACCCATGGACACAGTGTATCTGTTCATTTATTTAAGTCTTCCTTATTTCTCTAGGCAATGTTTTATAGCTCTCAATCCATAGATGTTACACATCTTTGTTGGATTATCTGTTGGTATTTCCTAGTTTTTGATGATATTGTAAATGATATTAATATTTTATATGTTTTAAAAATTTAATTTCCAGTTGTTTTCTTGTTACTGGTATATTGATCATGTATCCTGAAATCTTGCTAAAGCGCTTATTAGTTCTAAGAGCTTTTTTGTAGATGCCTTCAGATTTTCTATTTAGGTGATCCTGTCATCTGCAAATAAAGATAGTTTTACTTCCTTTCTCAATGAGGTTGCCTTTTATTTTTCTGGTTGTATTCCGCTAGCCAGAATCATTGCTTTGCATAGAACTGATGAGAGCTAACATCTTGCCTTCTTCCTGATCTGCAGGAGAGACATTCATTTTATCATTAAGTATGATGCATGATTTGAATTACATATCTTTGTAGATACGCTTTATCAGGTTTAGGAATTTTCATTGTATTCCTGCTTTACTGAGAATTTTTTTAAAGGAATAGTAGATGTTGTAATTTTGTTGCTTTTCCTATAACTGTTGTGATCATTCATATTTTTAAAAAAGATTCTTAATGTGGTAAATTACATTTACTGATTTTTTTTTCCCTATGTTAAACTTTGTGTTCCTGAGATAAACCCTATTGGTCAAGGCATACTATCCTTTTTTTAGCTAAAGTTGGAAGAATTTTTGTATCCATCCTCATAATACCTGACCTCTGGGTAAATCTGGCCTCGTAGAATGAATTAGGAAGTATTTCTTCCATTTTGATTTTTCCAGAAGAGTTTATGAAGAATTGGTATTCTTTTTTTCTTAAATGTTATTGTAGCACTATTCACAATAACAAAGACGTGGAATCAATGTAAATGTCTGCCAGTGGTAGATTGGATAAAAAAATGTGGTACATATACACTGTGGAATACTGTGCAGCCATGAAAAAGAATAAGATCATGTCCTTTATAGTAGCATGGATGGAGAAAGCTGGAGAACATTATCCTAAGCCAACTAAAGCAGAAACAGAAAACCAAAAATACTGCATGTTCAAAAGTGCACAAAAGGGGAAATGACACTGAGACCTACTTGAGGGTTGGGGGTAGGAGGAAGGAGGATTAGAAAAAAAAAATTAATATAAAAATGCAAACCTAAAGTATTTAAATAAAATTCAATTTTATTCAATTTGTTAAAAGTTTAATTGAATCTTATTAAATAAGTTTTAAAAAAATAAAGCCATTCATTATTCCAGAAAAAAACAAGCTGTTTAGTAGGATTCACTAGTGAAGCCATCAGGGCCTGGAGTTGTTTTGGGGGCAGGAGGTTAAATACAATGTGGTTTGATTGTATAGACATAGGAATGTTCAGGTTATCCATTTTCTTTTTCCCCAGCTTTACTGAGGTATGATTGTTGAATAAAAATTGTACATACTCAAGATATGCAACATGATTTGATATACATTGTGAAATGATGACCACAATCAAGCTAATTATCATATCACTTCATGTAGTTACTCTTCTTTTGTGGTGAGAATACTTAAGATTTACTCTCTTAGCGCGTTTTAAGTGTATAGCAAATTATCAACTGTAATCATGTTGTATATTATATATCCAGAAATTTTTCTAATAACTGAAAGTTTGTATTCTTTGACCAATAACCTCTCCGTTTCCTCAATACCTGGTACTGCCATTGTCCTCTCTGTTTTTGTGAGTTGGACTTTTTTAGATTCTGTGTTTTTTAGATATCATGCAGTATTTGTCTTTTTGTGCTTGGCTTATTTCATTTAGCATATTGTACTACAAGTTCATCCATGTCCTGGCAAACGGCAGGAATCTTTTTTAAGGCTGAACAATATTCCATTGCAGATATATGTATAACATTTTCATTATTCATTCACCCATCTATGGACATTAAAGTTGTTTTCATATCTTAGTTATTATGAGTAAAGCTTCAGTGAACATGGGAGTACACTTTATCATACCAAGTAGTGATTTCATTTCTTTTGGATGTATATCCAGAAGTAATATTGCTCTATCATATAGTAGTTCTATTTTTAGTATTTTGAGAAACTTCTGTACTATTTGCCATAATGGGTTTACCAATTACATTCCCACCAGCAGTGTACAACAGTTCCCTTTTCTCCATATTCTCTTCAGTACTTATTCACTGATTTTTGATAATAGCTATCCTAATAGGTGTGAAGT